GGAGCGGCAGTAGAAAGGTGTGTACTCTTCCTTCACCTGTGAGCTTGCTTAACTTGGTTTACTGCCTAGAGAGAAACAGAAAACATTACTCTGAAATGCATTAAGGTCTATTTGTTCCTTTAAATGTTGTTGGTTTTGAAACGGGTTATTATCTACATTTAAAAATTAAGTAAAAATGTTAAAAACTAAGATGTACACTGATAATTCCTTAATGTATTAACAATATGTTAAAGGGTAAAGACTTCTGCACTTTTAGTGTATGAAATAGTAGGAAAAGTGCCTTCAAAATAAAAAATTTTACATTCCGTGACTGAAGTATTGATATAAGAATCTCTATCATTCTGTAGAAGGCCCATAAAAAACTTTACAAATATAAAAGCATTTTAACTGTTTTGAACCCCTAACTAGCAGCATTGCAATGCTTTGCTAGAGCTGGTAAAATGGAACCAAATCGCCTCTTCAATGGATTTGGTCCCCTTCAACCAGCTGTAGCTATGCATTGATTACTACAAGACAGCCAATGTTTTCATTTATAACAGCCTAAGTTTTCATTTATAAATATTAGTCACATGCCAACTAATTTCAACTTATTTAAATTATTCAGATTGTGCTTTAAACTGAATAATCTGTTACTGTTAATTCCTCTTGTTTAAAGCTATAATGGTTAATGATGTTTATAACAAGCTTTATGAAAAATGTGTGGATGACTTACAGATTTCAAATAAAATAATTTTACTTATTTATGGTCTCTTGGTATTAAATTTCTTAGCCTCTATAAAAGAAATGGTAATGAAATACAGACTATGCTGCATTTAAAAAAAAAAAAAAAACCTTCCTTCAAAGAAGAAAATATCTGGGAAGGTCACCTAAAACCCACCTGAAACCATAAAAGGAATGCCACAACTGTGGCATATTTTAATTTAAAGAAAAATGTAACGTTATATAAAATAACACTTTAGAAATGCTGGGTCACTATCTTCCATAAAATTAGCATTTAATTTTATTGCCATATACCTGAATATTGATAGATAAGGTGAAAAATGACATGATGCTGCAGAATATCTTGTGGAGAGACTTAAACAGTAAGTAATTCTTCCAGCCCTGAACCAAAACCTTTTAATCCTCAAAAAGAAAGAAAACGCTAAGCATTGCTACCTTTTACTCATATAGCTGTTTCACCTCTCCATACTTGTTTTCTCAGTTGTAAAATAAAGAACTCTGATAATAATAACATTCTATGACTCTCCTCACTATCTTTTTGTCCTTCACACACACACATACACACACACACAAGCTTCTCTCTCAGTGGAAAGAAAATCAAGAGAAAAATGACAAGTGATCCAACATCCTTCTAACTTTCTGAATGACTACAATAAAACTATAGATTACATAATGTTCTTTAATAAATAGAGACAAATATTTCATCAATTAATGAAGGGTTACTGGTGGCAAGTAGTAGCTTAAAAACCTAGATGGTCATACAATCCCCAACTCCTGACCATTCCTCTATTTCAGAGTGAAAATCATCCCCTAGAAGAATGTGGTATACGTAAATAAACCTTATCAAGTTATAGGCCTTCTTGTTGATATTAATTACACCTATCAGTCACATTAAATATATTTATGTATTACAAGGCACACTGTGTTTGAGAGCAGATGCATGGACACACAAGAGAAAATGGATATACTCTAAGTATACTGTCATTTAAGTCTTTCGGCTACTTTTTATATATAGCACTCAGCATGGTCAGAGATTATAAGAAAAGAAAAACATTAAACACCAAGACATGCTCCAGATTATCAAATCTTCGTATATTCAACATAGTCTCACTAGATCATATTTCAGAATTTTAAAAAGTTAAATAAAGATATAACAGGAGAAAATATGAGTTGCTCACATATTCATTAAGATTTAGTATGTGTCTTTGTGGAAATAGATAAGTAAATAAAAAATGCCTGTGAAGTTAAGCACTACCCTGAAAATATATCATGTCATGTGGTTCATTCATATTTTACTGTTATTTTTCACATTCAATTTATATCTTAAAAATTTATAAATAACACTACATAAAGTAACTTTATAATAATATTGTTATCAGTAACTATCAATTGTTTTTTTGCCAGCTCTGCAGAAAATACTGCTAATTTATTTTCATGTCTGTGAGGAGAGGTCTAAAAACTTAAAGGCAGCTAGAAATGCAACATCCTCATAGAAAGCATCTAAGTGATGTGCTGATTAATGCCACTACTTTAAAAAATTTAACTTTCACTTTTAACAACAGAAATAATTTCTGCTCTTCATTTAAATCTGAAATTTTACCCATATACTTAACCAAATATCAAAATAAACAGCATTTTCTTTAAGATTTTTTAAAATAAAAAAACTACTATAACATACTGTAACTGCATTCTAAAATTCTCCAAACTTTACAAAGCATGACCAAAGTACTCAGTGTCTCATAGAAAAAAAAACATTCTCTTCCACAATTCTGAAAGAAATAAAATCTTTTTACCCATTCTAAACTCAAGTAATTGCTCTGTTTGAACTCCTAACAGTTTCTCTACAGAATTTATTTTGTAAATGACCATATATACACTTGTGATATCTAACAATGTCCTGACTGTCAAATTAAGAGTAACATTTATTGAGTCCCTACTACAGTCATCAAGGCATTGTGGGGGACATACAGATGAATATGAGTGTCCACAATTTTAATAAAAAAAAAACATAAAAATGCACATACTAAAGTACCACACAAAGCAGATTATTAGTACAAAATAAGAACACAGAACCAGGAAGTATAGCACAAACAGAAAATAATTTTAATGATAAGATCTAGGAGTTCTGGAAGAAAGATGGTTAAGATAAAGAACGGCGATAAGGACATCCTGACAAAAGAAAATGCTTAAGTAAGTGGAGAAATAAAGCAGATAGACTATTTTAGGAGAGGAGAGTAGTGTAATGTAGCTAAAGGATGAGGTGGGCAGAGGGCTTTTAGTTAGTGAGAGATAAACTTAGAAGGCTCAGGATACACCAGAAGTGGGTCCGAATGTCAATTCAAGATGTATAGATTTTATTCTACGTACACCTTAGAAGGAAGCAACCAAAGATTTGGGAATAGGGGAAGGGAGCCACTAGATCGATGTTTTCAGAAGGGATAGTTTGGTAACTATATGAAAATTAAATCAGAGATAAGACTAAAATCAGGGAGAACAAAAAAAAGATACTGTACTAGTCTAGGTAAAATTAGGTCAACAACAATGGAAATACAAGGAAAGGAATGGCTTGGAAAGACCTATAGAATAAATAAAATTTTAGAACTGGAAGTTCAGAATTAATGAGTAGTCAAAGACAACCCTAAGCAAAGAGGCACTAAGGGCATTGATGTGTTAATACATTCTTGGTTAAATCATTCACTGTCCAGGTGTTTCAGTCTTGCCTCATATGTAGACTGTAATACAGAAAAGTAATATAAAATGATCAAGAGCTACAATTCTACGGTCAGACAGACCTTGCTTAAGTTCCAACTGCTCCACTAGTCAGCTGTGTGAACTTGAATAAGTAAATTCATCTCGTTATAAGCCTCATATTCTTTATCTATAAAATGAGGATATTAACTCCTGCCTCAAAAGGCAGTTCAAAGAATTAAATAAGATAATGCATGTAAACCACTTAGCAGAGCCAGGCATGTGGTTAAGTGCTATCATCATCATCTTCTATTTGAAAAGCAGGAAACATATAATACTATTTTGTCTCCTTCACAATGCTAAAGTATGAAGTGTTCAAATATTTGTAATTTGAAAAAACAAATCAAAATAATCTAAAATACAGCCATTTATTTCACCCTACATTATACACTCATCGTTACAGGTACGAACAAGCAATACCAATAAAATCTTTTTGTTCTGTGTTCACCCTCTAGTGGTGATCCTAAGAAGCTAAAAAATAGCAAAAAATTAGAAAGAAACGTGATACAAAAATGTAATATGGAACCAAAGAATAAGAATTCATGGTGACTACAGCTAATAATACTGTATTGTATATTTGAAAGTTGCTAAGAGAGTGAATCTTAAAAGTTCTCATTACAAGAGAAAAACTATGTGTAACTATGTGGTGATGGATGTCAACTAGACTTATTGTGGTGACCATTTTGCAATGCATACATATACTGAATCACGTTCTACACCTGAAACTAATGTAATGTTATATGTCAATTATAATCTCAATTTTTAAAAAAATTCAGGGTAGATTAAATTATCAAAATAAACTTCAAAGGGAACACATTTCCCTCAGTCAAGATATGCAGGCTTGATTCAACTATGAACAGAAGCCATCTGATGCTGAATTTTCTAAAATGTTTCTGAAGGTTAAGTTGTTCCAAAAAATTCATTCATGAAAAGTTTTAGGTTAAAGCAAGTTAAGCACTTTTCTTTTCTGTAGGACTTTGCAGATACTTTATGATTCTATGACTTCCCAAAAGTCTCAAAATTTAATCAGCAAACACTTTAGTTTTTCAGAAGACCACCTGTAATTGTAACAATGGTGCAGAACATCAATACTAGAAGTTTATATAATTAATTATATCATTAATAAGGAATTAGGTAATATAATAGTTATTTAGCCACAAGTTTAAAAAAATAATTACCAAGCAAATGGATAACTTGAGATTAGAGGACATCCTGAGAATGATCTTGAAGAAACATAAATCTCAACATGGAATGCATTCTAATTAAAACTTTAGAAGATAAGCAGTATTCCTGATATTTTATATCCATATTTAATAATTTAAACAGCCATTTCATAATACCTGTATTAGTTTTACAAACAAAAAGTCATATAAAATTAATCATTTAATGAAGACATAATTTCTACAGATCTTAAAATGATTTAAAATATTAAAATAAACCAAAATTACTTTCTTATCAGTATCAGAAAAAGAAAACCAGCAACAGACAAACATTTTTAAATTGCATATAAAATAATAAAAGGTGACATCTACCTCGGATTTCCTCTTAGTGCAGCATGATGTAGAGCATTAAATCCGTTATTATTTGTAATGGTAACATCTGCTCCAGCTTCCAGAAGAACTGCGAGGATATCATCACGTTTCTTACTTATTGCGTCGTGAAGAGGAGTATCCCCTTCGGAATCCTTTTTTATTTAAGTTTAGAGAGATTTTCATTAGTTCTTTTTCAATTAATCACCACGTGTAATTATTAATACTTATAATGAACTACTAACCAAAGAAATAAAAACAGAAGCCATAACCAACAACCATCAATAAAACATACTGTGTTAATTTTAATAAATGCAAGCAAGAAACAGCATTATAGTAAATAAACTAATACACAATCTAGATGGCGAACACAATAAACATGCTGTAGCTTTCCAAAGAGAAGGAAAACTAAAATCAAAAAAATTAAATATGCTCAAATAAAATTCAGTAAAGTACAAAAATAAATGAGGTAGTAAAGCAGCCAAAAAAATCCATTAGTTTAAAATGGCCTGCTATACCATATTAATTGTACCCCGAAATTCCATACCAAACCTCCACCAGTCTCAGGGCTCCATAGCAATGAATTAAAAGTCAGTGGTTCTCAACCTTCGCTGCACTTTAAAATCTGCTGAGAATGTCTTAAAAATCCTGATACCTAGGCTGTTCTTCAGACCAACTAATCCAGAATCTCTGGGGGTGAGAATTAGGCAAGAGTAGTTTTTCAGAGCTTCCCAGCTGAATATATTGTGTAGTCATGGTTGAGAAGCATTACTTTAAATGTTTTCAAAGGGCAAGAAAAAGACTAGTTAACTCAAAGTGAAAACAAATGTAAATTAAAATTTGGCAGTCTCAATCTACCTTTTTGCAAGCTGATTACTTTCTTCATTAATCAACTGATTTAACAATAAGTTGGTACTCATTATCAGTCATCTGCATAAATGGGCAATTTAGACATCATTCATTTCATAGTTTCATAAACACTATTCTCAGTAAAGCCATATATAGACTAACCTATGGCATTTACTATGGTTGCCAAATCCAGCCTGCCCATTGTTTTTGTAAGTGGTTTTATTTACACAACCATACACTTTTATTCACGTATTATTCTATGGCTACTTTCATGCTACGAAGGCAACATTAGATAGTTGTGATAGAAATCCTACAAAAGCCTAAAATATTATCTAGCCTTTTACAGAAAAAGTTTGCCAATTCCAAGCATATATTCATCCACCCACAAAAGAAACTCCTAACACAAATTCAATCCAACAATCCATCTTCTATCTTATCTGGTGACACTAAAATTCATGATCTCCAACTTGAGATGGGCTTTTAATCTGGTTAGAATAAGCTTCTACAGGCCCTGATCTGTCGTGCCTTTTGGTCCCCCATAGTAGCTACTCCAAACCTTTATCACTCTTCTCAATTACACTTTCTATATTTAAACACTGCCCACTCACTCTCAACAAATGATTTTGCCTCCCATTTCAGACAAAAAAAAGTCAGCAAGTATAAATTCCTTCCTCTTCAATAGATTAATTCCTCTCAATGCCTCCCTTGTCCCCTAATTCTGCCATCCATTTAGAAGCTGTTAGTTCCAAACTCTGTCAGTCTTAAATGGCTGTACCTCAGAAATAACAGCCTGTAATAACCATCTAGCTAGACAAAATCTAGAATTCTTTCAGTTCCTCTCAAACTCTCAGTGCTATTATTCCTATTCTTCATTGCTTCTCTGAGACCAATCCAATTTAATTCATCTGGTTGCTAAAACTTTGGACAGGAATAATCATTTCTTAGGTGACTCTTGCTTCAAAAATTAGGTCCTACTGCAAACAAACCCTAACACTAGATATTTTCCAAAACAGAAAATCTTCTAAGCCTAGACTAAAGACTAGACCAAGACTTTTTAAATAAATTAATCTACAACTAAAATAATTTAGAAAGCTATAAAGTAACTATTATGAAATGGAGCCTTTTACATTTCTTTAAGCTGCCAAAGCCCATTGTCATGACCAATAAAGTTAAATCAAATCAATTCACACGTCGATATTTTGGCAAGGAAATTTCCATCCCCTCCTCTCAATATAAAACGGATCTACTGACACTTCCTTAAAAAGGCTTTTCTAAGAAGAGCTGCCAATGTTATTACATTCTATACTTTTAATATTATTTACTATGACTGATCCTGTAACAAAGCAATGCTTACCACAGAACCTACTTTCCTTTAATAGGATCCCAGCAATATCTACAGAATATATCTCTATAAAGGTTTTACCTGGAGACTAGGATGACAGCCGAAGTCCAATAAAGTCTTCACAACTTGAAGATGACCTTTATTGACAGCAATATGAAGTGGTGTCTGTCGGCGTTTGTTGCGAGCATTCAAATCAGCGCTGCCTCGATGTAGAACTTCTATAACAGCACCTTCATCCCCAAAAGCTGCATGGTGAACAGCTCTATCTCCATCTTTGTCCTAAACATCAACATTTAAATCAAAATTAGTGAATATTTTAGAAAGAAAAACAGAATCTGAAGCTATAATAACTCATCACGAACCAGATTAATGTGAGAAAAATCATAGAATGGAGCCAAAAAATAAGGAGAAATTCACGCGAATGGTGATTAACTCCAAAGATAAAGGATGAACCTGGATCAATATATTATGTCAGGCATACACAGGACCAATAGTTAATTCAGAAGCAGTTCAATTCATTACTTCTAATTTATCAGCCATGATGGTAAGCCAACATTGGGAAAATGCTGATTTATATAACTATATAAACTTTTTCCACTTAAAAAACTTTACAAAGACTTTCTAATGACATAAAAATTACACTAACACTAGTTGAGTGATTTAAAAAAAAGACGACGGGATGCCGAACAATGTGATTTCAAATAGCTTTAAAGCAGAGAAATATACCGATATGTTAACACTGGTTATCTCTAACTGGTGAGCATATACTTCTGTACATTCAAGAAGAGAAAAAAATTAAGTACCACCATAAAAGATAAAAATGAAACACAAACCAGCCTAATTCCATACATCTGAAATACAGTAGGTATGTCCTAACTTCTGTAATAGGCATATTTCTACAGAGATGAGAGGTAGAGAAAGACCCAATTTATTAAACTGTTTTCAAATGTTAAGAAACAACTTTTTAAAGGGGGGGAAAAATGCCTGTCCCGCACCACACAGATAATATAGATATATATATAGTCCATACCAAAAAGAAGTCTCATTACCTCACGAAATGCAGATGTAGAAGTACCCTTATGAAGGTACTGTCTTTATCTCATACATCTCAAATTTTAACACCCAGAAATAAGCATGCTTTAAGACTTTCTCCAGGGCAGTGATTCCCAAACCACAACGCTAGCCTCTGGTAGACTTTTTTTTTTTTTTTTGCAAGTGATTTGACAATCTATTACTTAGGATTATTTGAACTACTTTTAAAGTTAACATAGATAAATACTGTTGTGGCTAAGTACATTTAAACCAAATGAACAGTTCATTCAAAACAGCTGCTGAATTCAAAAGTTTTTGGACTTTGCATATTTGCTCAAGCAGATATTAAAAGTAAAACCACTCATGCAGGAGTCCACAAAGATTTGACAATCATTCTGGAAAAGGTAGGAAACCACAACCCAGGAGTACTTCTTTTACCTTACTAATATTCCAGCTAAACCAGGTTATGAGTTTTTGTTACCTGTCTACCTTGAAACTACCACATGAAAGTTTTAATATTCAACTCGTGTACCTCTGAGCAACATATTTATACACTCCAGGAAAAAAAAAAGCTTTTACCAAAAAAATATTATGTATATATATCACTAACCTCTCTAGTAATATATTTCAATATTTCAGAAACTTATTTTTAATATTTTCCTAACCCTTAATCTGAATTTATTTGTTAAATTTTTAAATCTATCTAGGGTACTCCATCCATTAAAAAAGGCAACATCGATCCACTAACACTCGCTGAATAAAAACAAGTACTATTTATGGAGTGTACCATATATTTACGGCTGTTAGAAAATTATTAGTGAAACACTTTTATGGAGGTCCTATCAACAATTTATTTAAGTAAAACAAAAAACTAAAAAACTTAAAACCCTTATATGTCAAAAGGCAATACAAATAAAATTTATAAATTTTGGGAAATACACACACATACTGGAAAATAACAATTAATTTTATTTCCAGGTTTTTCTTATAAATTAGAAAACCTTAGTTGTGCAAAGACCTTAATTTACAGATTTTATTGCTTTTTTCTGAAGTTATCTTAAGTATTCCAAATAAATCTAAAACATATAACTCGTCATTCTATCTCTGATACTAATAACAAAATAAGATCTTGAAGAAGAACATTACAGCAAACCTTCAAAAGGTTATGTAATTAAACTAAAACTAATCTTGGTTCTTTCTACCCTCTTGCCCTCCCCTTTCCTCTCAACACTCCAAAACCTGTCCTTGTTCCAGTCTTCCCTATCTTAGCTGACAGAACCAAAGATCATAAGGTCAACAAAATCAGTATCTGTAGGTCATGCTCGCTGACTTCCCTGACCAGTACCCCTATGTACAAGCACCTAATTCTACAGCTTTTACTCAATTTATGCTCCTATCTATTTTGCTACTCACCCTGCCACCACTTTATTCTTACCCCAATCTATTCTTCACACACAGATAGAATTCTCTCTGTAAAACACAAAATTTATGTTTATAACTCATTACTATAACTCTAAGGGAACAAACCTCTTTTGAAGCCTATTTCTGTAGACTATTCCAGACTCATCTGCTGCCTTGGTTCCCTCACATATAAAACTCTAATTATCAAGTTATTTGACCCAATATGATCTTATGTTGTTCCCAGACTTCAATGCTTATTTATTACCTCACTGGTTTGAAAACAGACATCCTTTAAAAATCTGCTCAAGCAACCCCTCTCCTATAAAACTTCTTGATTCTCACAAAATCAATAAATTAATCTCTCCTTCTATTATCTCACTTACCACACTGTAGTATAATATTTGTTTCCAAATTTATTTTTATTTGACTCTGAGCTTTTGGGGGTCTACGACTGTGTCTTAATTATCTTTATTCCCAGGATGTACCATAATGCCTACTAACTACTAAAGACCAAAATGGGTGTTTAACTGAATCTTTAATAAGCCTTAATAACAGTCATGTTTTTAATAATTTCCTTTTGGTAAAATACAAATAACGTAACATTTACCATCTTAACCACTTTAAGTGTATAGTTCAGTGACATAAAACACATTCATATTGTTGTGAACCCATCAATACCATCTATCTCCAGAACTCTTTTCACCTTGCAAAGCTAAAATTTTAAACACATTACACAATAACTGCTCTTTCTCTCTATCCCCAGCCTCTGGAAATCATCATTCTGCTTTCTTTCTCTATGATTGTTGATTACTCTAGGTACTTCATATAAGTGGAATCATACAGTATTTGTCTTTTTGCAACTGGCTTGTTTCACTTAGCATAATGTCCTCAAGGTTCATTTACATTGTAGCATGAGTCAGAATTTCTTTCCTTTTTAAAGCTGCATAGTATTCCATAAATATTTTGTTTAGCTATTCATATATCAATGGACACTTGAGTTGTTTCCAAGTTTTAGCTATTGTGAATAATGCTGCTATGAATATGGGTGTACAAATATCTCTTCGAGGCTCTGCTTTTAGTTCTTTTGGGTAAGTACCTAGAAAAAGAATTACAGGATCATATGGTAAATTCCATTTTTAATTTTTTGACAATCACACTTCTTTCCACAGCAGCTGTACCATTTTACACTCCCATAAGTTAACGAGGGTTCTGATTTCTCCACCTCCTCAACATTTATTTTCTGATTTTTCAATAGTAGTCATCCTAATGGGTGTGAGATGTACCTCATTGTGATTTTAATTTGTATTTACCTAACCATTTGTGATGTTCAGCATCTTTTCATGTGCTTATAGACCATCCATATATCTTCTTTGGAGAAATATCTATTCAAGGCCTTTGCCCAACTTTTTGTTGAATTTTAAGTTCTCTATATTTTCTCTATACAGTTGAGTCCTCTATATATAGTTCTCCATCAATCCCTTCTCAGATATATGATTTGCCAATATCTTCCCCATTCTGTACCATTGCCTTTTTACTGTTGATAACATTCTTTGGTGTACAGAAGTTTTCAATTTTCAGTAAGTCCTATTTGTCTATTTCTTCTTTTGTTGCCTGTGCCTTCAGTGTCATACTCAACAAATCATAGCCAAATCCAATGCTGTGAGCTTTACTCTGTCTTCTAAGAATTTTTTAAATTTTATTTCTAAGAATTTCATACTTTTAGCTCTTAAATTTATGCCTTTGAGCTATTTAGAGTTAATTTTGTATGAAATGTTAGGTAAGGGTCCTACGTCATTCTTTTGTATGTGGATATCCAGTTTTCCAAGCACCATTTGTTGAAAAGACTGTTCTTTCCCCACTGAATTGTTGTGGCACTCGTGTCAAAAATCATTGACCATATATATGCAAGCGTTTATTTCTGAGCTATTTTATTCCACTGGTTTGAATGTCTGTCTTTATGCCAGAACCAGTGTTTTCATTACTGTAGCTTTGTGGTAAGTTTTGAAATCAGGAAGAATGAGTCTTGCAAATTTGTCCTTTTTCAAGATGGTTTTGGCTATGGGGTACCTTGAGATGACATACTGACTTTTAAGATGGATTTTGCTATTTCTGTAAAAGACATCATGGGATTTCGATAGAGATTACACTGAATATGCAGCAGATCACTTTGGCTAGTATTGACATCTTAACAATATTAATTCTTCCAATTTGTGAACATGGGTTATGTTTCTATTTACTTATATCTATTAATTTCTTTCAGCCATAATCTGTAATTTTCGTTTTACAAATCTTTCATCTCTTTGGTTAAATTAATTCTTAAGTAGTTTATTCTTTTTGATGCTATTATAAATGGAGTTTTCTTAATATCCTCAACAGATTGTTCATTGTTAGTGTACAGAAATGCAAATGACTGTGTTGACTTTGTATCCCGCTATTTTGCTGAATTTCTTAATTTGTTCCAAAAGTCTTTTTTTTTTTTTTTTTTGGTGGAATCTTTAGGCTTTTTTACACGTAAAATTATATCACCTGCAGGGATAATTTTATTTCTTCCTTTCCAATGTGGATGCCTTTTATTTCTTTTTCTTGCCTAATTGAATTAACTTAGATCTCCAAGAACTATGTATACCAATTCCTAGAGCCATTTCTGAGTCATGAGTTCTTTTTAGAAAAGAATTTCCTTAAACTAACCAATCTTAAAGCCCACTTGCCCTTTCCTTCTCCGTTTTACAGTTAAATGTTTCTAGTTTTGTTTTCATTAACTAGATAAGCAGAATCAGGTAGAATTAGCATCTGTTTCTAGAGAAACTGTACTAACTTCTACCAGTTGGAAAGAAATGTTTAATAGGAACACTCAAACACAGGTAATATCTTAAATTCCCAGGGTGCCGTATACTATAAAAGGTTATCTTAAATTATTCCCCTTACTCCACACCCCAACTCTTTAAGTTACCATAGATGAAGAAACTGAAGCTTATACCAATTAAACTTTTTGCCTAATATTATAAACAATCGTTAAAACTTGTTTTTTTTTACAGTCTAATATTGTTCCCTACTATTAACTCACTCCATTAAAAAGTTTCCATTAACTTTAAATGATAAAACCACCTCAAGTTTCCTGATAACTTCAGTATATATTTGTATCGTATTTGAAAATTTACTGTAAAGGACGCACTTTTTTAAACTGGTCTTCCACTCAAACCTCTACGCCTTTACTATTACACTTCATTAGTAGGAAAAAAAAATATTGAGTCCCTGAAGGATCCAAAATTAGCTCATCTATATCAACATACCTAAGATCTCGCAGTTCTCAGTGCCTTTACATTAAGAAGGAAACAGAATGTAATCCTACTGTACTTAGTAGGCCAGATATGGAGAAAACCAACTTTCTAAAACAGTTGAGTTTTCCCTAAGAAAAATGGAAAAAAAATCTTATCATATATTCAAAAGGTATGATATACTCAGCCATAAAAAGAGGTGATATACTGCCATTTGCAACAACATGGATGGACCTTGAAATAATCATACTACTTAAAAACAGAAAAAGTTGAAAATCACACGATATCACTTATACGTGGGATATAAACCTAAAAGAATCAAATGAACAGGACAAACAAACAGACATTCATGGACATGGACAATGGACTAGTGGTTACCAAAGGAGAGGGGGGAAGGAGGAAGTAGACGGGGGGAAAAAATTTAAATCATTTCTTCAATTAAATAAATAAATAAATTTAAAAAAGATAATTAAATGCCTTACAAAGTGGAAAAAAAAGTATGATATATTCCAAATAATTTAGTTTGATAACAGATTAAATCAACTGAAAAAATCTGCAATCATCATCTATACTAGGGTCCTGTAAACTTTTCTGTGAAGGGCCAGAAGTAAATATTTTAGGTTTTATAGGCCCATACGGTCTAGTCAAACTATCAACTATTCAACTCTGCAGTTGTAGCACAAAAGCAGCAATACACAATAAACAAATGAATGGGTGTATTGTGTTCCAATAATACTAATAAACAATACAAATGGAGGTCTGAATTTGGCTTGCAGGCTATAGTTTGTGACCCAATTTATACTATCTTGAGCCCACTTCCTAATGCAGAGTTCAAAAAAATGAAAGATTACAGAATGAGATAACTAGAAAAGAAACATATTGATCTTTATTCTTCGGCTAACCTCAAAACTTTTAATAAAATTAGATTTTCAAAAATTGTTAATTATTAGTTTTTAAGGTATGTTAAAGATATAATAAAGTTTTGTTTTGTTTTTTTTTAAAGAGCACTTATCTTTTACGACATATACTAAAATATTTACAGTGAAATAATATGAGATCTGGAGCTGCTTCAATTTAATCTAGCAGAAGAGTGAGATGTAAGGGGGTACAGATAAGACAAAATTGGTCAGAAAAATAATTAAAGTGGGGTAATGGACACATAGGATTCATTATACTATTCTCTCCACTTTTATAAATGTGTAAAATTTCCAATAATAAAAAAGTTAATGACAAATCACTTTATAAAGAAGCTGGCAAATGATGAATCCTAAATTTAAGTGCATTTGAGAAATTAACTATTTTCTCCATCTTTTAAACCAGGGTTTCTCAACTTCAGCACTGCTAACATTTGGACCAGATAATTTTTTGTTGTGGGAGCTGTCCTGTGCACTGTAGGATGTTTAGTAACATCCTTTCTTTCTAGCCATTAGATGCCAGTAGTACTCCCAACTCCCCCAATGAGCTGTGACAATCAAAAATATCTCCAGACATTTCCAAATGTACTCTGATGGACAAAAAATGCTCAACTGAGAACCACTATTTTAAACAAACTATATTACTGTTTATAATAAGCAATGTTAATTCTTATATTTTAGGAAAATTAAGACTTTGATAAACTTTTATTTTAGTCATAGATGATAAATTATATTTACATTTTAACCCAATTTTTAAATGTAGTTTTTCCTTTACCAATTGGGAAATTGTGTTATTAATTTAACCTGATATGTAAATATTGCTTTCTCACACTATTTCTACAAATTACATTTGCCTACAGTGGTTTTAAAAACAGAAAATGCACAGAATGGAAATCCAAACCTCACTGCTCTAGTAAGTTTTCAAACTGAAAGATAAATTATTTACAAATACCTATCCTACTGAGCCTCACTCCAACTCCAATCTTACCATGTTTTTAGTATTAACTAACCACTTGTTTTGTATTTGAGTTTAAAGCAATAAGAAACCTACTCTTGAAAAACAATGTCAACTTCATTACCAACCCCAGAGCTGCAGCTCCCCATTCTGTATAGCCAGCCTCTAAGGTTTACAAGAAGTCTTTAGAAACACAAATATATGGATAGGCTCTATATTGCCAGGTTTAGTATTTAAATTCTCAATCAGAAAGCATACTTTTAAAAAAATTAGGCAAAAAAAATTTGGTTTTTCAGTCTCTTGCCTTATTAGTTATAATCAGAAGGGCTTTGATATTTCAGTAGTTGTTGCTATCATAGTTTCTGGATTCATTAAATAAAAAATGGAATATTCAGCTCAAGAAATTTCATTGCATTTCCCCAGACCAGACTAAAACAAAAACAAAATAAAGTAATTGCCTACCATTTTCAGAATACTAAATTTAAATTAAGTCTTTCTTGCATTACCAAAAAACCCTTATAACATAAACTGGGTCCTAAATTCACAGATAAGAAAATGTGACTTAAAAATTACTACTGTAAAAGCAAAATCAAATTATATAATCTCATTCATAAAGACATCACAGTAATAAAACTATCATATAGTTTACAGACATCTAATAGGTGAATTTAAAATTCAAGCTCTTTTTATGCAAAAGAAAATTTCAACATCAAAGATGACTTATTTACACCTACAACACCAGCGGCTCTTTAGTAGCTCTTCAACAACTCAAAATACATAAAATTAGAGAAAGAAGAAAAAATAATGTATGACTTCTCTTCTCAAATGTGTATTAAAATTTTATTAGTAAAAACCGGCTGGTCTACCAATTGGGCCTTCAGAAATTCAAGTCCTTAGTAAGATTGCTTAGATGGAAGTGTCATCTGGGCAAAACTGCAGCATTCTGCCTAGTGTAAATTTGATAGAATTTGACTTATTCTTAAGTAATCTTGCACTAGACTGAAACTAATGTAATTCTAATATCTTTTTTAAGTAATGAGGTTATAACTAAAACAAAGAAAGCCATCCTTCACATTACTCACATAGATTCTCAACTGAAATTCCAACGATAGCAAAAAAATATTTATTTCCCTTTGTAAGAATATACTCTAAATTAAATTAAGCATAAACATACACTTAAGAGTGATAAACATGCACTGTAAAATCCCAAAGATCCACATTAAGGTCAAGAGACAACAAGACTAAACAAATTCTAATATACTGGTCCCCTTATGAGAAAAATAAAAAAAATAAAGGCCTCTGAGTGCCACAAATTAGGAAAGTTCTTGAAGCATATGATGTATATTCCCCTTCCCTGAGATCTATAATCCCTTCCTTCCCTCAACTTCCCCAGTATGATTCCTGGGTGAACCCAAACAGGCTCCCAACAGCATAGTGGTACTACCATAGTCAAGGGAAACTCAACTCCCATCTTCATTTGGGGTTATGCCCAGAATATTGAGGGTTCACAGAAAAACAAGAAATGCTTCAAGCTGTCTTTTGTCAATTTTTTCTTTTCAACCAGAAAAGTCTTAGGTGAGTATTAAATTTCAAGAATGAAAACAATCTACCTCATGATATAGAAGTACCATTTCTAGGACATTAATTTTTACTTAAAATATTTTTCAACCTTAGTTTAATTACCTCTGCTTCTACATCCACATTTTGCTTCAAAAGTAACTTCAAAATGTCAACATGTCCATTCTGACTAGCAGCTTGCATAGCTGTGTGGCCAGCACATTGTCCATTCACCTAAATTAAAAAAAAGATAAAAGAAATGTCAAAAATCAGAATGAGCCTATACACACACACACACACACACACACACACACACACACACACACACAATATAGTGTGTAGATTTAAATCTAGCTCATTATATAATTCTATAAAAATAATTTAGTTTGGTATTCCATATGTTCTAGAATAGATCATCAGAAACTGTTCTAATTTAGAGAAGAGATGCGAGCACTTTCTTAAAATAAAATGAAACTTCCATTGTTCAAAAAGCTATGAAAGAACTGTTTAGCAATCTGCAAAGTTGAAGAAAGGGAGCAGGAGAACAAAAGAAAGTTAGTTATATTAATTTTGTATATTTAATTCTATTTAGATTATTAAATCTCAAAGCCTATTTTAAAAAGCAATAATTTAAATAGAAAACTTTTCAAAAAATTAGTCTACTACAAGATAAATAAATTTAATTCAATATATATACCGAATATCAACTATAAGCAAACTACCATGAAAGATATATATAAATGAATTATCAGGGTAACTATATATGACTATTCTATTATAAAGCAGTAAATTTCAACCTTTTCTTCACTTCAGATGTTGTGTAAATGCATAATTTACCCATGAACATACCCAAGGCTAAGTGAAATTCTTTAATTCTAACACATTCACTCCCATCCACAAAATCATGAAGGACCACACGTTTATATCCTGTCCCCCGAGACTACACTAAAAAGAGAGTAGAATAACTTTAAAAATAAGAAAACTACAAAGACTAGGAGAAAGGGAGAGCTAACAACAGAAAACGAGAAAAGCAACACATTTTTGAAAGAGAAAGCAGACTGAGAAAGTTCTCTAATTAACTTTAGAGAAAAAGACAAAGCCTGGGAACCCCAGACAAACTCAAAACCTGCAAATACAAGCACATCAGAAGGCTAACAAGAGAAGCCCCAAGTATAAATCTGATGTGCAATGGCCACACTCCAAGTCCACTCCTAGAACTTAAGAACAGGATGTCAGCAGCCATGCACTTAGGTTCTAAACAGCAAAAGGAGGTTTCTTCTCTCAAACAACCGAATAGCCATAGAAAGCAGACCTCTACATGACAGCATCTAGAGATCTCCAAAAGCTCCACACATACAATCACCATAATGCAAAGTCAGTCATCAAGTCCTGTCCAGGTAAAGAGAGCTACCAATCAGCTTTTCGATGTCTTATTCAGATATGAACAGACAACTAAGGATCAGAGATTTGAAGAGTACCTCAAATACAAAATAATAATAATAATAATAATTTTTTTTTTTTTTTAAACAGAGAAAAGAAATGACTCTGGAAGGAACAAATGGAGAGAAAAAAAGAAAAACTTCAGTTAGAGACATTCGAGAATTCTTTAAATCTAAAAAGTCAAAATCAGAGTTTGGAGAAACATGGCAGAGTGAGAGATGTCTCCAGATCTCTCCTCTGGAAACAACAATAAGCTTAATATCTAAAATGCAACAGAAAATACCCAAACTGCACACCAGTACGTCTGAGCATGGGTTCTGCGCATAAGAGCTACCATAGATTAAAATGTTATAAAAACCTTAAACCTAAAATAAATAAATAAATAAATAGATAGATAGATAGATAAATAGATAAATAGATAAATAGTCAAAATCAAGAGGATGATGCTATGAAAACAAGAAAGCTAAAGGAAAGAAAAATCTCACTATAAGAGCTGGAAAATGGGTAGATATGAAGCAAAAGACCCTTGTTTTTCAGTACTGAGATCTTTTAAAATGTATATCCTTACATATTTATTTGTGTTACAAACAACCATACCTCAATAAAGCTTTACAAAAAAACTGTTTCAGCAATTAAAAGATGAGTTTTTTTAATTAAAAGATGTGTTGTATTTATTTCCATTACCTTATGACATCTTACTAAAACAAGAGTAAAGTTTTATTTTCTTTTAAGCAACAATTGACAAAGATAATTAGAACTAGCAAAACAGAAACCACACACACAGACACACTCACACATATACAGTAAGCTGGAAATAGAACTAAACCTCCTGTGAGAAAAAAAGCCTAGAAGCAATCCTTTTGCCAAGAAAACCCAAAAGGCTCAGAATTAATGATCTCTGAAAATAGAGAAAATGGGGGGTGGGGTGCTACACACAAAAACATTGGTTGACAGTCTTTTTTTGTTTTTTTTTTTAAGGCCTACAGCACCCAGTCTTCCTAGGTGGTCTCCCATCCAAGTACTAATCAAACTTGACACTGCTTAGCTTCCGAGATCAGACAGGATCAGGCTTGTTCAGGGTGGCACGGCTGTAGACAGTTGACAGTCTATTTAAAAAGCATTTATACCCCCAGTTTCTCCCACTCTGCACAGCTGAACTACTGCTCTATCCTCATACTAACAGAAACCTGAAAATTTATTCTCTGGGAAGGGTAAAGGCTCCTTAGCTTATAGAAAGCAGGCACTGTAGGGTGGGGCAAAGTACTAAAAACAGAACTTTTATGTGAATATTTACAGGCTGAATGCTGAAAACCCAGGCCCTCGTGCCTTAATCAGTATTCAAAAGGCTGGCAGCCAGGTTTATACCTAGCAGGAGAATAAAGAGATCTTTCTGGGGAGTCAGACCAGCCCAAGAGAAAAGACTTAACAACCAATACCCATGAACAACCCAAAGAAACACCCAACCAGATCACCCTATAAGTGAAGTCCAGAGCTGACAAACCCACACACAAATTAGAGCTTCCAACAAGCCTTGTATTGTCCACTCTTATAGATAAATAGACAACCAATGATCACCAGACACTAAGGAATGGCCTCCAACATGGAAGACTTATTTGGAAGAATGGAAAAATAAGGCTGGAAGATGTAGTTTTTCATTAAAAATCTTATAGAACTATTTTTCCCTTTTTTAGAATGTATGACATTGTTAAAAAAATGACTGAGATAAATTAGTAATTAAATGAAAAAATTAAGTATAATAAAATGTACATCTGCTTGACTGAACAGAAAAGAAAGTTGACTATATTTCAAACACAAAACCATAATATCTGAAATAAGTTATTTGTTATGTCTCACAACAAATCAAGAAACCACTATGTTGTGCTGCTGCAATTGATCTCTCTCAAATAAACCTAAAATGCTACATGAGCTCAAAGGAATAAGACGTTTATACTTATAATTATATATCTGATCTTCTTCAAACTGTCTAGTGTACTTATATACAAAGGTGTGGTAACAAAAGCCCTTGCAACACAGTGACAATGATTCAAACTGCCACTCCACTTATAATCTCTTGGCCAGCACTGAACATATTGGTAGCAATGGATGACTAAGTGAGAACCAAAACAGCCCATTTAAAATATGGCTTATGTGAACGGTAAACTTACAACATTAAATATTAAGATTTACAAAGTACATGACGTCTAATTCTTCTGTGTTACAAACTGTGAAATAGTCAACTTTTATAGGGAAAGGAGAATAAAAAGTTTAGACTAAATGTTTTAAAAAGGATAGAAAATTACTTATAAAATTTACTAAAACATTATTAAAAGACATGACAAAATTACATAAGAAAAATTCACTGAATTTCCAAAAAGGACACTAACCACTTAAAAAACAAAATGTGAATTTTGTTAATCATCATAAAATTAAAAAAGTCACTGTTAAAATAAAAAAATATCAATATTTTTTAGACATACACACTTAAAAATGATGGCTCGTGTCTTCTTTAAAATACCTCAGAAAAACAAGGACTAGATGAAGCACATGTAGCAAAGTCCTAATAATTATTGGAGTAATGTGGCAAAATCTAAATAATTGTTGAAGAAGTATAAGGTCCATTATACTATTTGTATAGTTTTCAAAATAATTTTTAAAATGCTCACATCTACATCTGGTCTTTTTAGCAAATCTTCCACTTTAGCAACATCTCCGTTGGCAGCAGCCTTAACTAATTCTTCATTGAGGTCACCAGATTCTTGGGTTTCGAATAATTTCTTCAAAAGTTGGGAGAGTCTTTCTGTAAATCATCAAATAAAAGTGCTAAAAAAGGAGGATCTCAAACCTTAACTACTAACAGACAAGCATTACCTACATGCCTATAATATATACTTTTCCTTTTTTTCTATCATTAAGGTTATTTTTGTACAGATATTACCCATGCAAGTTATAATTACTACCATATAAAGATGTATTAAATTTGAGCCCCCAAGTATTCCCAGTTTTCTCCAATTCATGTATTTCAAATTAAAATTTTAGAAAAAATAGTTACATACAAATAATAATTCAAGATTTGGAAGTCATAACAAAGATATCAGAAATGAACACATTCTAATGGATACACAATGGGAGCACCATAATGATACAAACTTCCTTTCAGGTTTTAAGCATACCCACTGACTCTCTGAGCTCAATGTTACAGACCTAAGAGTAAATTAACAGATCAATGACTATGATTCAAAAGCAATGTAATCCCTATAATATCAGAGAAAATATTTTAGGGACAAACCAATTTTCAGTTGAAAATAGACATCTGCAAGTGTTAATAACATACTTCAAAGGTGTCATTGATCAGTTCTGACTAAAATAAGAAAGAACCAGGGATTTACATAGACCGATTCATAAGATATTTTTTCTAAATAGCATTAATCAGTAGAGCATCTACCCAGTTCTTCTCAATTCTTGAATCTTCTTATTGGAAAGCAAAGAAATCACAAAGTGGGGGAAAGGACCAAAGCCAAGTCCACATTACTTGAGAGTAGGATATTAACTATCCTTCACTCTTTTAATTTGTACATAGTCAACTTGATGTGATGCCATCTAACCTCAAGGTAAAAATAAACACCACCTGATTTTGCTAGCACACTAGCAAATTACAGCAGAAAAGAGACAGAAGCAGAGGAAGTTAAAAGCAATACAAAATAAAACTGGAGGTCACTCAATGTTTTCCTTTACTTAGTATTTACAGTTATGGTTCTACTTTTCTGGATGACATACATACATCAGTAATTTATAATTTGTTGTAGAATGAACTGAGTCTGTGTATATAATACTGTAGCATAGGAAGGAAAGATTTTGGGTATGAGTTGACCTAAACATCTAGCATATTTATATCACAATACAGTTTTCTACTCATTGCAGCATGAATAATAACTCTTATTGAATAGTAAGAAAAAAAATATGGCTGATATGTAAAAATATTCAGAAAGAAAGCCATCTGCAACCAATGATGTTGGAAATGAAAAGAAAACAGTCTTAGAAAATGATGGTTCTCTGGCACAAAAGTTCTGACTCTTTTCAAAGAGGAGAGTGTTGAATTTCAGGTATCTTAGATTTGATGTGGAGAAATCCTTGATATAGCCAAGAAAAAGCATATATTTATGGAACTTTTCCAGTGCCTACCTCTGCCAGAACAAAGGCTGTTCATTGTATGGGGGGAAAAAAAACTTTTAGTGAAAGTTTAAAAGATAGTTAACATTCAAGTGAAGTTATGTGATCTAGGAGAAAACCAGGAACACATACAATATTATCTGTATGAGAACTGGGGAATTAGCAAAGGTTCTAACGTAAACCACATTACTTTTAAAGAAGCATGAGCCAAAACATACCACCAGATGCATTGCTAATGGCTGATCCTGCAGATGCCACCTTAGAAACTGCTGCTGGATTATATGTCCAAGATGTACCACAAACTTCCACCTTTAAGTCACTGTCTGAATAAATCTGTTGTACGCGGCCAACTTTACCTAAAGTCTTTAAGAAAAAGTATATTCATGTTTCCAAGTCTAAAGTATATGCCATAAAAATGTTACCAGTTTTTACATGTTTAAATGATTCATTTTACTTTGTTCTTAAAGAAAAAAACTTTTGAAGGATAACAATATTCAACTGATTAGTTACAAACTTTAATAAGTATCCTTAAAAAATATTTCTATAAATAAAACTATACTTCCACAAGAATATAAGAAAATAAATCATGAGTGTCTTTTATTCATAAAAGTTCACAAAATTTTGCTTTTTGATATTCAATCCTTCTTTTTTAACCCCATAAGATATATCTTGAGAACTTACAACGTAACTAGTATAAAATCCATCACCAATCTAGCCTAAAAATATGAAATCTAATTTCTAAAAAAAATATATTTAAACCAAAATGGGTTCAAAACTTACATCTATGTTTAAATCCTTTATGGAATCATGCCTTATTCAAAAATGTAAATGTGCAGAAATAACGTGCTTATTTAATATGGAATAAAAAAAAAGGGCAATCAGGTATAGGATAACCAGCAACAGCATCTCTTACCATGTGGCAAATGCTTTATATATATTGACTCACCTAATACTATAACCCTGAAAGTTAAGTGCTGTTATTAGTCCCATTTCAAAATCAGTTCCAAAACTCATTCTCTTAAGCACAACAGAATAGCAAATAACACTAGAAAATTAGTGAAGAACAGTGATACCTGACTACTACTTTCTAACACAAAGAAGAAATTGCCCTTGATTTATTTTCTCTTTTGACCTCTTCGTAGCATCCAACCCCAACTTCCAGAAACTACTCCCTTGATTTTGGGATGGCAGTCTAATCTTTCTGCCTGTTCCATTCTCTACTCACTGGCTCCTTTTCCTTCTTCAAGTCCTTAAATCTGTTCATTCTCCCCAAATTTTATTCCTGCATTTTTACTCTTCTTGAAAACTTAATCTACTTTGACAACTATCATCTTATATTCAAAGACTCCAAAATATACTTCTCTAGCCCTGTTTAACCCTCCCCTTGCCCCACAATACACACCAATTTTAACTTCTCATTAGACATTTTCACTGGGAATCTTCCATCATATCAAACTCTATGAGGCTGCATTCTTTGTTTCCTCCCTCCTAAACTGTTCATTATAGAAAATCTCAAACACATAAAAGTAGACAATAGTATATTAGATCCTCATTTACCCATCAACCAGTTTTAACAATTTTCAGCTCATGGTCAATCTTGTTTTCCCCTACCCATTCTCCCTTCCTATATTATTTCATCATGTAAACTCTTTTTAAAAAACATATCTACAATACTATTATCAACCGGCCCCAAATTATCAATAACTCTAATATGAAATACCAGCCAGTGTTCAAATTACCAATTGCCTCATAAATGATAAAATTTTTAGTTTCTTTAAATCAAGTTCCAAGTAAAACCTATACTTTTGCTCTGCAAATTATTTGTTGAAGAAATAGGGTTATTTATCCTATAAAGTTTCTTACAATTTGAATTTTGCTAATTGGTATAGTTTAATAGATTCATCTGTCTTTGTATTTGGTAACTGCTAGATCCTTTTAATATGATCTAAAAATCTTCATTAGCTTCCTTGCTATCTGGTATGAGGCTCATCTTGTTTATTTCCTGTCAAAGAGCTAGAATTAACCATTTTTCCAAAGAGCCTTAGTTCTTTACAGAAGGAAAGACTATTTCAAGACCATAATCTGAGCACTAAGGTTGGTTATTGTTACTGGAATGGTCACTGTTTCTAGGTATTTTCATGGACGGAGCTAGGAAATGGGTATGGGTATGGGGGTTGTTTTGTTTTAAAAGATAAAATAAATCATGAGTTCAAACTCTCTTCCAATTCAAATCTAAGACTACAGAGTTTTTACATAACCTCTTTTATATTACATCTGTATCTCCTTTTCCCACTCTAATCATTCTGGTTCTCAAGGTCACTGGAGATAACAGAATTAGAATTATCATATAACCCCTCTTTTTTTTTTTTTGTCATGTTACATAAACGACAATCTCAAAATAAAAACATTAATACTATCGCAATTAGATTTCTGAAAATTATTTAATATTTCTTTTCCCATGCAGTTCTGTAGTGTATATTCTTCCCATAAGGATATAAAGATAAATTACTGTGTTTAAAAATCACCTGGAATTTTCTCTCTGAATGACAATGAGACACGCTCAGGTTTATTTGTTTCATTTTATTTTCTACTTTTAGAAGTTTCCTTTTTGAATTTGATTTTGTTTTATAATTATATAAAATACATACATGGTTTCAAATCTATAAAACAAGACATATTCAAGGACACCTTCCTTCTACTTTGATCCCCTATATCATATTCAACTTTTTATATATGAATACTTTTTTAACTTTATGATTAAACTTTCCATTTTTTAAATATAAAGATTGTATTAAAATTTTATATTAAACTATATTGTCCTAATATTATAATAATAGCCATATACATATATGTGCATATACATATATATGCAGATTCTCATTTCCTCTTTTAAAATTATTTATGTATTATCTATTGGTCTCCTAGTATATACAATACTGAAATTAGTCATTCATGTGTTCTTCTACTTACCTTGTGTCTCCCATAATAATTTTAAATAATAATATTTAGTCCCACTGCCCTATCTCTACATTACATTTTCCACTAACAGCTCTATCAAAAATACTAACTGTAGCCTTTTTTGGACCTTCTCTGGCTAATTTAACTGAAATAAATTGAAAAATAAAAGGCATAAGTATGCCTAGCTGCCAATGAATATAATTCTTGAAGGATTATGCTACTTTCATTTCTAAAAATTAAAGTATCTTTAAAAACTACATAAGCATAATATAATTCCTAATCCAAAACTATTTTCTATATACTTACTGGAAGCATAGCTTCAGCCCATTCTCCGTGTCCTCTTTGTAGAAGTTTAATTCTTTCCAGATCATAACAAACTTGTACAAGATCGCCAACTTGAAACTGTGAGGTGCCTCCTTCTGCACCTTGAGCAGCATCCCCGCTTCGGACAATGTTTGCTTTAGTGAGAACAGCAGGATTGAACGTCCACCTAAAGATCAAAGCCAAAACTCAAAATGGGTAAGTTTATTTTAACACAACATTTTTCGTTAAACATTGCAGGGTGAAAAGTCTTATAACATAAACAGTAAAACAATCCTTTGCAATTACATCCTGAATGATCTTTCTTTTTATAATTTTATAACACAAATTTGGAAAAAGTCATCATAGTCTTACCACCCTAATATATTTCTGTCTAGATTTATTCTCCACTGCATGTTTTAAAAAATTGTTATAAAATACATAGTCATTGTTAAAAATTAAAACATTTCAGAAACACATAAAGTGTGTGATCTTTGAGAAGGAATATATCTGCCAAGGATTCCTCATGGTTAACTGACCCCAAATTCATAACCAGAGTTTAGCAGCCTTTGCTGATAGAGGCCTCTCATGCACACTGCATAGAAGGGAAAAGCCACAGACAGCTACTAGCCTCCTGCACTGTGTTCCTGCCTTCTGAGTCAACCCTTATGAAGGAGCTCCTGGTATCTTCTTTTGACCAATGGATTGAGAACTGCCCTGTCTATAAGAGCTGAGTAGCTATTCCTCTTTTGCCTCTACATAGGCCAACCAGAACACACAACTCTGCCTAATCAGTACCATACTATTTGGACCAATCCAATCAGAACTGTGCAATGTGAACTCATTTGCATAAAAATGGACAGATCGGGAACCAGGGCAGGAAAGGTGGCCTGCCCTTTGACTGGCTGGAGCCTACTTTTGGCTTCTACCAGAGGCTGCATTTGTTTCGCAAACTGTTCATCTGAATAAAATTTCTCCTCTTTCCACATCTCAGACTGGGAATTTCTGCTGACAAACGAAAGTTCCATTTTATACATCATGCCTGGATCATCATTCCCCACCCTACTAGAAACCACTGTTAATACTCTATTGTATATCCTTGCAGATCTTTTATCAATATGCTGAGTAGTAGTCATAATGTAGAGAGTTTTCTTTTCCATAAATGGAATCATATAATTCTGACTTCTTTTTTCTTAGAGAATGCATCTTGGAAGATTTATTTTTTAATTTCACAGGCATGGACCTATTTATTTCAATTTAATGGCTACATAATATTCCATAGCATGAAAATACACTAATGTACTTAACCTGCCTCCTACTATCATTTACAGTATTTCCAAATTTTCACTATCGTAAACAATAAAGAATATCCTTTTATGTATATCTTGTCCACATGAGGTCAGTATTTCATTAGAGATTCTTAGAAGAACTAATCAAAGTATGCATTTGTTTATAATTCTGATAGAGCCAAACTGCTCTGCAAAGAGTACACCATTTCCCCATACCACTGCCAATCTCATAAAAATAGTATTTAGTTTTAATATGTCATGCTTGGGCATTTTACATGATTGTAATCACTGTAGCAAAAACAAATTTGGGATCTAATTTCTTTCCTATACATAAGCATTTTTCTGTGCTGCTACCATTTTCATAATGACCATTTTATTGACTATTTAATATTCCATTAAATAGTTGTACCACAATGTGTAACACATTTCCCCTAGCTCCAAATAGCACTCCAAAGAAAAAAGGTTCCCCAGTCAAATAAGCTTTTACAATATAGTCATTAGCACATAAAAACTTTGAGAAAGGTCACAATATATAAAAACCTGTTTACTAAAATCTGTAACCATGCAAACTTGGCTTTCTAAAGCAACCACAAAAACAAGTGCCTCTGACAAGTTAAAAATAAAAATAAGATGCACGAAGTTTTCTTTTCAGTTTTATCAATCACAATGCCCTTTACCTCACTCAATGTTCCAGAATTTACAAGACCTATTAGGGTGCATGAACACAGCAGTATTTATTCAAATTGTTCCCTCTGCCTACAGTGTTAACCTGCCTTAGTGAAAACCAAGTCAATCTTTCAAACTTATTCTAATTGTAATTTTCTCTCTGAAGTTTTCTATCATTTGCCCAGCTGAAATGACCACTCTTCTTTTGTACCTTCAGAATATCCTGAATACTCACCTATCATAATTACTTACAACACTATAGTAGTTATTTCCAGTTTTACCTATCTAAACTAAAAGAGAATCCCTCCAAAGCAGGAGACCATGTCTTAATTGTTGTTTTAATTGCAGCCCTAATCCTAGGGCCTAACACAGTACTTAGTAAGTTAGTACTTAATAAATTTTTGTTGAATAAAAAAAAATGATTATTTTCTAGAATTCAAATGTCATTATTACTCTTAACACCATTGCCCAAGAAAGAGTTTTAACCAAAAAAGAATTCTGTGAGTAATACTCCTAATTTGTGTTAACCTAACATTTCCAAATAAGGTAATATTTAACACAAAATATGTTAGTATATGCTAATCCAAACTTAAACTGTTAAGATTTTTTCTTTTTATTAACAGCTTTATTGAGATATAATTCACACACCATACAATTCGTTCACTTAAAGTATATAATTCAGTGGCTTTTTGTATATTCAGAGTTGTACAACCAAGCACCACTAATTTCATTTTCATCACCACAAAATGATACCCCCTAATTATTAGCAGTCACTCTGCATTCACTCCCTCCCTAGGCCCAACAACTAGTAATATACTTTGTTTCGATGGATTTGCTTATTCTAGACATTTTATATAAATAAAATAACATTATATGTGACCTTTTGTGACTGGCTTCTTTCACTTAGCGTAACGCTTCCAAGATTTATCTATGTTGCAACATTATGCCAGTACTCCAATCCTTTTTATGGCCAAATATAATATTCCACTGTATAGACATCATATTTTATCCATTCATCAGCTGACAGACCTTTGGGTTATTTCCACCTTTGGCTGTTATGAATAATGCTTCTACAAATATTCATATACAGGTTTCTGTGTAGACAAATGTTTTCAATTCTCTTGGGTATAAACCTCAGAGTGGTCATATGGTGACTCTATAAACTGTTTTCCACAGCATCAAGACCACTTCACAGTCCTACTATCAATGTATGAGGATTCAGTTCTAATTTTTCTACACCTTCACCAACACTTGTAATTATCTGACTTTTTTATTCTAGTCATTCTAGTAATATGAAGTGGTATCTCATTTGTGGTTTTGAATTGCATTTCCCTAATAACTAATAATGCCGAGCATCTTTTCATGAGTGTATGGAATGTATAGAATGATTTGTGTCATTCCAAAATTAGTATGTTGAAGCTCTAACTCCTAATGTGACGGCATTTGGAGACAGGGCTTTTAAGGAAGTTACTAAGCTAAAATGAGGTCATAAAGGTGGGGTGCTAATCTGACAGGATAGGTGACCTCATAAGAATAGGAAGGGGTACTGGAAATGTCTCTTTTTGAGCATGCACAGAGAAAAGGCTATGTGAGGACATAACGAGAAGGCAGTCGTCTACAAGCCAGGAAGTGGTCTCACCGAAACCAACTCTGGTGAAGGCACCTTGACCTTAGACTTCTATCCTCCAATTTATTCATTTTTTCTTTGGCTGTTTCTACTTTAGGTGTCATATCTAAGAAATCACTGTCTAATCCAATGTCATGAAGATTTATGCCTATGTTTTACTCTAAGAATTTCATATTTTTAGCTCATTTCTAGATCTGTGATGCATTTTGACTTAATACTATATGGTGTGTAGCAGGGGTCCAATTTCATTCTTTTGTACGATGATATCTAGTTGACTCAGCCCTTTTTTTACTGTAGTTTTCTTTTTTTTTTTAAGTAAGGTATAACTGACATTAAGCATTGTTAGTTTCGGGTATACAATACAATGATTTGTATTTGTATACAATGTTAGTACCATTGTAGTACCAAAAACTATTCTTTCCTCCACTGAGCTGTGTTGGACCCTTATCAAAAAATCAACTGACCTTAAATGCAAGGGCTTATTACAGGACTCTAAATTTTATTCCATCAATCTACATGTCTATCTTTATGTCAGTAATACATTGATTACTGTAGTTTTGTAGTAAATTTTGAAATCAGAAAATGTGAGTCCTCAAAACTTTGTTCTCTTTCAAATTGTTTTGGCTATTCTGAGTCCCTTGAATTTCCATAAGAATTTAAAGATCAATCTGTGAATTTCTGTTAAAAAAAAAAAAAAAGGCACTAGGATTTTGATAGGGATTGCACTGAATCTGTCGATTAGTCTGGAAAATACTGCCATCTGTTATAGATTGAATTATGTCTCCCAAAAAGATATGTTGACATCCTAATCCCTGATACCTCTGAATGTGATCATATTTAGAAATAGGGTCTTTACAGATGTAACCAAGTTAAAATGAAGTCATACTGGATTAGGGTAGTCCCTAAATCCAATGACTGGTGTCCTTATAAGGTCACATGAAAACAGCTTTTGATCATTTTCTATGTCAAAGATTTCAGAATTTCCATGAGCTCAATTAACTTCCTTCTATGTCTCCCCAGCGTTCTTTCCTCATGGATGGTTAAGTTACAAATGTTGGCTTGACAAAAATAAAATAGTGAGCTGAGAGATTATTTATGTCTAAGTCTCAAATGATCTCCCTACAACTATCCGAACTCGACTAGAGATTGATTTGAATGCATTTAAAAATAAAATTTGTACCCAGGGGTTAAAAAGGTCATGTGAAGACACAGTGACACACAAACTTACAGGAGAGAAGGCCAGTGAAGACACAGGCAGAGAAATGAGTGATGCATCTATGAAAGCCAAGGAACCAAGAATTGTTAGCAACCATAAGGTAGGAGAAAGGCATAGAACAGACTGCACTTTAGAGACTCCAGAAGAGCTCGATCTTGATGACACCTTGACTTTGGACTTCTAGCCTCCAGAATAGTGAAAAAATAAATTTCTATTGTTTGAAGCCACTCAGTTTCTAGAAATTTGTTACAGCAACCCTAGGAAACTAATACACCATCTAAACAATATTAAATCTTCCAATCCATAAATATGAGATGTCTTTCCATTTATTTATGTCTTTAATTTCCTTCAACAATGTTTTACAGTTTTCAGTGTGCAAGTCTTATACTTTG